AGTTTATGAAAACACTGCTAACTTCAGACAGAGCAGTTAATTAGAAGAGCTTTAGCTAAAAAGTTAAAATCATTGAGCAGAACCAGGTCTGTTTTACCCCAACCAGGACACCATCTCACCAAGTAACACTTTCTAGATAGTTCTTGGTTATGGAATACATACTATGTTATTTTTATCTATTTTTTCCTTGTATTTTTAGAAGAGACTTGAGCTGGTTTGGAGTTTTTTTTTTTCTTATACAGGGTTTAGTCTAAATTTCAATGGACAAGACAGCAATTTTGGAAAAAGCCCATTGCTCTTGCTGCACCTCAATGGTAGCAGCAACACAGCTGCCAAGAGGAATTCTGCTAACTTCTTATAGTTAAGAAAATAGAGAATAAATACAAAGATCTGAATTCCAGAAAGGCAAAAATAGAAAACACTTTTGTCTTAATGTACCCATGCTTAGGTACAAGTGAATTTGCCCTACATATACCTTAGGTAGTGATGAGGTTGGAATACTGTAAGAGAAGTTTAGCCATGTATTTATGCATGCAGTTGCAGTGAATACATGACTCGATGGTCTTAAGTGAAGAAGCCAGGAGTACCAGAGTACCATGCTGGATTTCCACTGCTTAGCTGCCACCTTTGGACACCTGTCTAAATGCTGGCATTGACAGACTAGATGCTCTTCTCTGCAATTGCCAATTAGGGATGGCAGTATCAGACATCTATAGTGAAGCTCTGGCTCCAACCAAGTCTTTTTTGCTGCTGCAGCAGTAGGAGTAATTTTACAGCAGACTACTGACTTAACTTACCTAATTAATGCTAGCACGAATCAGTTCCCCATTATGGATTTTCATCAGGAAAATAGCAAAGATGCCAGCTGCCTCTATTTATATTAATAAGATTTCTCAATCTGTTTTTTGCTTCTTAGCTCAGTGAGGTTCATGAATGGATCCAAACCAATTTATCAGTGATAGCTGTTTTACAGACAGTAACAGAAGTTAATGAATCTCAAATGGTGATTCTCTAATGAGATATGTGGCAAACATAAATTAGACTATTTTGTCTATTCGCTGGATTGAAAGCATGGAAGAGGACTTCAATCCTTTTTGTCAGAGTCATTGGAGATTAAAAATAATCTTTAAAAAGAGAATCAGAGCTACATATAATTGGAACCACATAAAATAGGATCTAGATTCTCAGCTGGTATAAATCAATGCTGTTTCACTGAAGTTAACATTAATGAAGTTAATTAATTTACACCAGTTATGCAGCTGGCCCTTCGAAATCTGGACTGTTTGACAGAGCTACAGTGTTGAACATCATCTCAGGCACAAAACTGACAAATTAGCCATGCATCAGAGCATGCTTTTGGACTTGGAAGGCTTCTGTATGCCAAGAGAAGAATGATGCGGTAATAGAGATTGCTTCATACTGGATAGAAGAAAGCTGCTGATAAAATCTGGGAACTGTTAAAGAGAACATCATTTACACAGAATTTGTGTTGGGTTTTTTTTGGTTTTGTTTTTCTTTTGTCATGAACACATGGCCTAGCAGCAGACATGCAGACTCATTTTCACTAATCACATAGGTTAAAATCTAAGAACTTTTTTCTTTTAGATTTTCACATTAGTTTGTAAAGCATTATTGTGAAAATCTTAAAGAAATCAGTGCATAATCTTAGTTCATTGGAACATCAGACTTAAAACACTTACCCCTTGTGTGCATTTCTTGATCTTAGAAAATTACTTTCTTAAAATTTATTCAGCAAACCATACTCTTGCATTGAAGAGTTCATCTGAGTCATGTCAAAACAAAGGAGAAGAGGATTGGCATCTTTGTGAAGAATCTCTCCTGCAACAGCGATTGGGCATGTTGATACAAACATCTGGCTGAACTGCAGTATTTCATTTTGGCAAATACATTGTTCTAGAAAGCTTGTGGTGGTATTTCCTCTTTCTTTCCAAAGGAGCCCAATCTCTGTCATACTTCTTTCTTTTAAGGAGGGAAATTGGCTGATACAGAAGGGGGAAATGTAGAGCACCTCTGCCTGGTGTCTGCTCTCCAGTAGGTAGTTGCAGGGCACACTGTTCTGCTGGACATTTTTGTTTGTTTATTTGTTTTACAGGAAGTGATGCATGCCCTAAGACAGACTTGGCACACAAGTTGCTTTGTCTGTGCTGCTTGTAAGAAGCCATTTGGGAATAGCCTCTTTCATATGGAGGATGGGGAACCTTACTGTGAGAAAGGTATGGAAAACTGGACAGTCCTGCTCGGTAATCATGTGCTTCATGTAGCATGGAAGAAACGTAAGAATAAAGCAGCTGATGAACAAAATAAAATCAGCTACCCATCCAGCATGGATATTGCTTCCACTCTCCACATCCAGTGTTTCCCCTTCTGTATTTTTCTCCACTTTCTATGATGAAGTGGATAGATGTGTGGACAGATTTAGATGAGAAGTGGCAGAGTGCTGGTCTTAGGCCTCTGTGTCCCAGAATGCTTTACCTCATTTCTCTCCCTCACCTATTAAGATACTTGCCTTCCATTTTTCTCCTCACATTTTTTTCCCTGTCCCACTCCCTTCTCTGATGAGATTCTGCTCACTAGAAATCTACATATTCTGGTGTGAAAAATCCTTCTTTTAGGGTTCTGGCAACAGTTCTATCTAGTATGTGTAGGCTGCTGCTTACATTCTCTTTACTAAGTTGCTTGAATTATGACCCCTAGAACTGGTCAACCAACATGAATGAAAAGAGAAATCTACATATTCTGGTGTGAAAAATCCTTCTTTTAGGGTTCTGGCAACAGTTCTATCTAGTATATGTAGGCTGCTGCTTACATTCTCTTATTAAGTTGCTTGAATTATGACCCTGATACTGCTACCTCACCCTAGAACTGGTCAACCAACATGGATGAAAAGATACAGCCCTGCTCAGATGTGCCACACAGGGTAGTGCAGATTTTTGTTTTCTGAATGCTGCAACAAATGAACTGCTTCTTGCCAACTCAGAGAGGAAAAGGCCACGTTTTCCCAAACTATGAAAAGGGTAATGTGCTTAAATAAAGGGTGCTTGCCATGCAAGTGAGTTGCCTAACATGGTCAGGCAGCAGGTTTGGGTTTAAGTGGTGTTCCCATCTGTAAGCACTGCCTTGTCCATTTAATGAACTTTTGGCCTACTTCTCTCTGGAGATTCCTTCCCTTTCATTGTGTTAATTGAATTTTACAAATCAGAGTAACTTAGTAAAGAATGAGAACCACACAGCATGAGTGACATGGCACCTTCCTTTTAAAACTGGAGATTTTGTCATAACCTGTAATGACTCACAAATTCCATATACCTTTAGAATTTCTGCTAATCTTTTTCAATGTCAAGTCTTTCCAAATTGCACTTGATGTTCAAAGGTGTAATAACCAGCCAGTATGGGATTTCCATAATATTCTCTCTTAATACAGAGAGAACATAAACCCAGTTATGGAATAACAAACTGTGCTCCTATACCACCCCTAAGGTAACGCTCACTGGCCACTAGATGGTGTTTCGTGTGACCATATTTGTCCTTAGGAATCACTTCCACATATATTACAGTTAATTTAAAACTAATATGAGAAACATAAATTCAAATTTTATGAATTTTTTGTTTGTTTTCTATGCTTGTGATGACAACTCTTATGCTGATCTGGGGTTTTGTTTTACACTGAGTTTGTATTTAAATAACGAAAGAAAAGAAGCAAACTTCTGTGAGCATTTCAGTGAGTGTGGTAGGAAACTGAGCAAAACTAGTCCAAAAATTCATACTCTGGAAACATTCTGTTTCTCTTGGATTTAACACAGTTACATTAAGAATTTGTTCTAAGCTTGCTTTTTCTTTTATTTTAGATTATATTGCTTTGTTCAGCACAAAATGCCACGGTTGTGATTTTCCTGTTGAAGCCGGAGATAAATTCATTGAAGCTCTTGGACACACTTGGCATGATACCTGCTTCATTTGTGCTGTAGGTTCTATACCAAATACTAATTAATTTCTTTATACTCAAAAGTTGTAGAGTAACAACAGAAG